AGAGGCAGCAGCTGACGAAGCTTTTGGGGTATCCATTTCTTGCCAGTTGGTCGCAAAGATGCCATAGTACTCGTGCTCATCCCGGAAGTTGTCAGTAATGCGTTTTACCCTCTAAGACGGTGCCATAATACAATTGCTATGGTAGTTGTGAACCTGATTTCTATTAGTCGCTTTTCTATACGCCGTGGTGCTGAGCTTTCCATTGGTTGTGCATTTGAAAAAGATGTCAAGGAAATGCAACTGTTTTGTACCCCTTTTGCTTCCCATGTGAATTCGATGTGGGGGGAACTGCCGTTAAGCAGGTTTTGGAAGTCTGTTGGTCTGCTCCGTTCGATTGAACCGAATGTGTCGTTCATTTACCGAAGCCAGAACGCAGGTTCGTATTGATTGAAGGCGATTTTTTCCAGCTCTCGTAAGACCAGTTCTGCAGTTCGACTGAATATCGGGGAACCTATTTTTAATCTGTTCGTTGAAAGTGAAAACAATGGCCGACAGAAGACAAAAAGTTGTATTAGATGGGCCATTTTAAGAGAACTCTTCGGTTTGTCATCTTTCTCTTCAAGTCGTCTGCACAGAACGTCGCGTGCCAGGTCCAGCGGGGTGGATGTTAATAATGTAACCACGTCAAACCATACCATAATTTGATTAGGTCGAACCGTTTTACCCGAGATGGCGGTCAGGAATTGGAGGGCCGAACTGATTGTGGTCTACGAGTCCTCTCAGAGGAAGTTTTGTACTCGGGCCATCAATTTAGATAAACTATAAGCAGGGCTGCTATTCAATCTATCCGATCTTTAATGGCCGAAAACTAAACCCAGGAAGAACGCCGTGAGGCCACCATGAGACAGTGTGAACTCAGCCTTATCACGCATACAACCTCCTCCCTTTCCCTCGGCCGAACTACAAAAGCCGCTCAATTGTTGCTGCACGCTCATATTCTCTGAAGGTGGCCTCTCGAATGAGGCCGAAAGCTCAGCTAAATAACAGCGCCTCGCAGTGATCGTGTCTTCATCTCCTTAGAACTATTTACCAACATCAGCGGATCCCTTAATTTATTTAACAGTCAGAAAGAGGAGGAACGTTCACCAGGAGAGGTTTATTAGATTTTCGATGTTTCAGTTAGTTGTGTTGTCCATTTATTTTCAAAGACTGAATATTCAGGCTCACGGCTCTCGTTATATGCCGCCTTCTTCCGTGTGCGTTCATTCTCTGAAGAGGAGTGGACGAAACTACTACCCAAAACATCGGAAATCTAATAAGCCTCTCCTGGTGCACGTTCTTCCTTCTTCTTCGGACTTACCTGAGAAGCGCCTTTTCACTACTATTTATCTTATTTAACAGTCAACTTATTTGGGCTTAATTACAAGGTTGCCCGTTTTCTTTACTGTGCAAAGCTCCAAGGACACATAGCGAGCACATAAATATTTATCGAAACTCTCTATAACGTAGCTCCTGGCCAAATCAAAAGTTCATATTGTTAGAAGATATCTTCGTGACCACATTACCGTGAAGCGATGGCATATGTTATAATTGCTGGCCAACAACCTGACTTGATCTTTTGACTACGCCCTAACTTGTTTGCATTACATTTTAGTATTTTTTTCTTCCTGTGTTTTCTTCAGAAAACCGGGGACTAGCGCTTCAGCGAAAAATTTAAACACCATCAAATCACTTCGCGTTCTCCGGGTGCTACGACCTCTTAAAACTATAAACCGTGTTCCAAAGCTAAAGGTGATTTTTTTTCAAAATAACAACCTTAAAATACACCCTAATCA